GATCAAAAATATATTATTATGACAAAATCAGTCCAATACCCACATTTGATGAGGTGTTCCTAAAAAGCAACCTGGATCTCCATACTTTTTAACTTGCAGAAATTTTTAATTATTACCTCCAACCATTTTCAGCTATGTTCCATTTAACTGGAATATCAAAAGCGCGAAAAAAAAATTTTCCACAAAAGTGGTAGAAACCCGGCGGATTCACCCAACCGCCATTAGTTTCGTAAATGCTAAAATAGTTCCGTATACAGTATAAAAAACCATTGATAGTTCCGTAGAATATCTAAAATTTCCGAGTATAGAACACAAAACCATCCTTAGTTCGGCATCTAGTAAAATGGCTCCGTAGAAATTTTAGGGAACTATTGATGTATTCGCGATCTTTATTGTGGTTCCGGACACATTCTACGAAACCACTGATAGTTTCGTAGAACATCCAGAGGTTCTGTATATAGAATCCGGAACCATCCTTAGTTCTGCATGTAGTAAAATGGTTCCGTACAATTTGTGCGGAACTACTGATGGTTCCGCAACAATTATTATGGTTCTGTATACAATATACAAAACCATTAATGGCTTCGTAAAGCACCTAAAGGTTCGGTATACCTGACACGAAACCATCGATAGTTTCGTGAATGATGCAATAGTTCGATATATCCTTTACGAAGCCATACATAGTTTCGTAAATATTGCAAAGGTTACGGAGACATTTTACGAAACCATTGATAGTTTCGAAATACATATAATAGTTTCGTATAAAATATACGAAACCATTAAGAGCTTCGTCTTTTATCTGAAGGTTCTGTATATATGTCACAAAACTATTGGTAGCTACACAGAGCATCTAATGACTTTGTAGAAGCTCTACGAAGCCATTCATAGTTCCATTAGTGATCTAATAATCACGGACAGGTTGTAAAAAACTAGCCATGGTTTTGTAAAAGGTATACTGAACCATTACATCATTTACGAAACTATAAATAGTTTTGTATAGTGCATGCCGAACCTTTTGATGTGTTACGAAACTTTTGATAGATTCGTGTAAGATATACGAAACCTTTGTTTGTTCCACGAAACTATGAGAGGTTTCGTATAACATCAGAAAGTTCAGTATAAATTGTACGAAACTATTCATAGCTTCGTAAACGATATAAGGGTTCGGTATATTTTTCCAGAAACCATGGTTGGTTTCGTGCCACATCTTCGGAACCATAAGGGCACTCATAAAACTATGAATGGTTTTGTAGAACTACTACGGAACCTTTAGATGCTCTACTAAACTGTCAACGGTTTCGTACGAAAAACATGGGAAACCTCCGAAAGTTCAGTGCACAGTGCACGAAATTCTCAGAGGGTTTTCTAGTAAAACATCGAAACCTTCTTCGGTTTGTGAAACTTAAAAAGGTTCAGTGTTAAGACTACGAAACCTTTTTCATCCCACGGAACTTAAAACGGTTCCGAAAACTATTGCGAAACCTTCAAAGTTTGGTAGAACGCCTTCTTTTTCTTACAGTTTACTCACACCCACGCAACTATATAGAATGTTTAATAAAATAAATTATTCTTTTAATATGATGAATATTTGGATTGATTGAGAAAACTCATAGAAATTCAAAAGTTGATCTTCGATGATGACTTTTATTACTGATAGATATTGTTCAAGTAACATCTACTATTGCAAATGGGCTAAAAATCATGAAACAAGAGCAAGTCGACATGTAGTTATTGTCGTATGGGTGAGTATTGTTAAGTAGACGACCAAAACAATTACACCGATATCCTTGTTCATTTTGCAATGCGTTCGAAAATAATCTTTTCGGAAAATCGGATTGAATTCGTACTTTACTGAAAATCAAACATCTTCTGGAAATTATAAAATTTTTCGACGATTAATAAAACATTGAAAACGTTTCCGCTTTTGCTAACTCGGTTTTCCAGAAAATAGAGTTTTTTTAATTTATGCTGTATGCTTTAAGGTGGCGCTATCAAATCACTTAGCACATGTTCACCTGTTGGTGCAACAGAACCATTTCCGGTAACAAATGAAGTACTACGAAACCGATACAACTCAGCTATTTTGGCAATCATCGCATATTCTTCTTTGCTACAAGTTGTTATTTGACTGTGCATGGCAATATAAAGAGTTGGCTTTCGTTTCAAAGTGGCCAACCATGAATACAAATTTGGCAAGACTTTGCATTCGTAGCTTTCGATATCGATTTTCACAAATACATGTTCAATGGTAGGATTAATTTGCCATATCGTAAATAGCTCAGGCAAGCGATAACAACGTACTGTCCATTGAGCAGGAGCACGATTATTCCCTTGTTGAAACAATTTGTGAATCGAGGACATACTATTACCGGGAAGCGCACTCTTCATTTGAACATGAGTGGACTCCACTCCTAAACACCCAGCTTGTAGATGAACATGATGATACCAGAGCGATTGGGCATTTTGCTTTAAGTTATGCGATATTTTTGAGAAAGCGGCAGGATCAGCTTCAATAGCGTAAGTTCTAGCCGCTAACTGGCTGCTAAAGAGAACTGTTGGTCCAATCCAAGTGCCAACATCAACGACGACCGTGTCCGAACTAAGATAGTGCATTAATGCAGTATAAGTTTTCAGTTCCCAGGTTCCCTTCTCGACAAGATCCCAAAATGAGGATTCTTCGTCAGTTTCCAAAACTCGAGCAGTAAGTCCTCCAAAGGGAAACTTCACTAGACGAACTTCTTTTTTTTTGTTTAACTTTTGAGAGATTCGTTGATAAATTGCATAGGCACGATTATCCCAACCAGAGTCAAGCGTCACTGTCTTGTAAAACGCATGTTCTCCGTTGCAATCGCCTACTGATCGTGATAAAACAGCACTATTTTGATGCCAGCTGTACCATATAAAAAGCATGATGCCAATTGCGATGAAAATTAGAATCGTAGATAACTGAGATCCCAACAAAGCCATCCCATAGAGGTTCCACCGCT